CACATGTGAAAACAACAAGAATGTCAATTTTTGTATATTTTATCACAGTCCGTTCAAAAGCGGGTGTGGCTGGAATACAGCGAGAAAAAGCACAATAATCACCATTAGAAACTGTACAAGGATGCAAGCATCCACTTTGGATAGAATGCTTTGATTCTTGATCTGATGGTGGATATCTGGATGTGTTGATTCATGAATGTTTGCTCTCCATGTGATATATACACACTGTAGAGTTCTTTAATATAAATGCAGCAGGGGAATTTTTTTTTTTAGTTCTCTGGAGAAAAGCTTAAGTCCTAGGCCTAGATGAGCCAAGTTCTGTGACACTCAAGCAAGGTCTTGAGAACAAGATGGATCTACGTCTTTGCCCACCCCCTTGACAGACCACTCTGTGAGCGACATTTATCTGGGCCTCCACATGGGACCTCACAGCCACATCTGAGATACGCTTAACCCTCTCTAAGGCACATGGTTGGGACTAAGCGACATTAGACAGTCTTAAGGATGCTGATTTACTCTGCCTTCCGTGTACACAGGCTTTTGTCAGGAGTGAGAGAGCCAATGCTTCACTGAGTTGACAGACACCTCTCCTTGGGTCTGTTAGGACCAAAGCAGCACCCTCAAATGGCAGTGCTGGTGACTTTGTCCTACAGGGGAGAACTTTCGCCGAGTAAGCAGCAGGAATGTTACTGGGTAAACAAGTCTAAAGGCAGGTTTCTGTTTACTGGAAAAGGAGATAGCACAAGGCAGTTTCCATTTGCAAGACACTTCCCACTACCTTGACATCTGGTTCCCGGTCAGTCCTAGCAGTCCATCTCAGCTGACACATAACATCTGCTTGCTTTCTTCTGCCCTCCCCTTCCACCCCCATGTTGCTCCTTTCTCTGCCTCCTGCGAGATAACCTTGGCAATTTGATCCCCAATAAACCTCTCTTTGTACCTACGAAGCAGTAGAGTCCAGTGGGTCTACCATGCCCTCGCTTACAGTGCCTGGCTGCTTTGACCAGGCAGCTGTAGGTCAGGCAGTCCCTTCCTCGACAGCCCCCTGCAGGCAGTCCAGCTGTGTGGTGAGGGTTCATCTTATTGTCACCTTGACTGGATTTAGAATCTCCATGGGAACCCCAACTTCCGGTGTGTCATGAAGGAGTTTCTAGATTAGGTTTGGCTGAGGTGGGGAGACCCATGCGAAATGCGCTTGGCACTATGCTGTGGACAAGGCTCTCAGACTACACAAGAGAAAGCTACCTGAGAACCAGCATTCAAGGCTCTCTGCTTCCTGACTGCAGATCGCCTTCCCACCATGATGGTAGCACAGAGAAACCCGTCCTCCCTTAAGCTGCTTCTGTATTTGATCACAACACAAAGTGGGGTGATTTGAACAACCTGTGACCACTTAAAGGAAATGCTTGTGTGACAACAGCAAGCTAGGCTGCTGGGAAGCCATGAGTGCTGCCCCTTGGAGACTCTGCCCCGGGCAAGATAGCTCCAGGAAACTCACATCAACCTTTGGAGACCCCAGGGTAGGTGCTGGCTTCTGAGTTTAGGCGTTCAGGTCTTCAGCTCTCAAAGCAACAAGCAACCTGCAAACCCACAAGTCTCGGGTAAGTTTCTAGCTTTTGGGGCCCAGAACCATTGTCTCTCTAGCTTATGAAGGCTTAGCGCTTGCTCAAATCTGGGCCTAGAGCTACAGCTTTCTGCATTTATAGCCTGGATCCACAGTCTCCTTGTTCTCAAAACATAGGGCTACAAGCCCAGCCTATAAGTCACTGCTTTCAAGAGCTCAGGACCGTAAGCCCAAAGGAAGCTTGCCCACGTGTAATGTTTACCTGAACAAATGATCTCCATTTGGGACACAGCTAAGGTGTCTGTGAGAAGGAAGGAAGGAAGAAAGGAAAGAAGAAAGGAAGGATGGAAGGAAGGAAGGAAGGAAGGAAGGAAGGAAGGAAGGAAGGAAGGACGTAGGGAAGCTGTTCCTGTCCTGCTCTGCTTTAGCTGTCACAGCTGTCCGGTGTTGGTATCATCCACAATTCCATTTCTACACATTAACTATTGTCAAGTCCTAATGATATTTTACATTTAAATCACTTGCTGGGTGTGACCTGGATGATCCCACAGGAAGACCCAAGGTTGAGGTACATCTTTGCATACCAAGGAGGTCCCAGTTGTCAGGAGCTCAGCTGAGCAGCCAGGGGTTAGGGTGACCAATGGATGGATCAAAGAATACCGTCAATGGCTTGCTGGGTGGTGGAAACAAGGGGCCAGACCCAGGGAGTGCAGCCATTTCTACACTGTCTGCCCTGTGGAAGGCTGGTGAAGCGTCAGATGCGTCAGCACATACATGACTTGCTTCATTGTTAAGGGAGCCCAGAACAAAAGGGATGACAGTCTGGGGAGGTCCTGGAAAGGAAGGAGGAAGATATTGGGTAAGGGCTAGAACCGGAAAGGGGACAAATGTCTTCAAGACTTTTCTCCTTCTCCCTGGGGACACCTCACCCAAGGTGGACCTTGTAACCTCAGCCCAGCGTGTCAGAGAGGGGTCCAGGCGTAGAGCGATTGGCTGGGCGGACAAAGACACGGAGGAGAATCACAGTCCAGGACCCAACCTTGACTTCGGTGCCCTTCAGAAACCTCAGGGTATTGGCTGGGCCTTGACCTGGGTAGAAGCCAGTCTTCCTTCATGAGACCTACTGGGCAAACTTTGGAAAGTGTCCAGGCCTAGGAACTGCACAGGTTTTAATCACAATCTAGCTTCTCCCTAAGGTAAGTCCCTTGGTGAGCAGAGGGGTTAGGTTTTTCTAGTAAATGAAGCTCCCAAGCTCCTTGGTACCAGAAATCCTTGCCAGGCTGGAAAGCTCTGAACTCTGCAGGCCTCTTCAAGCCCTAAATGCACAGAGGACCCAAGCTGATGCTGAGCTACCCAGCTACCTCCCCTAGACCTCCATGCTGAGGGCACTCTTCCTCCTGGGCACCTGGTAGCCAGAGCTGGATTTTGGCCCCTTCCTGAATTCCCAGCCCCTGCCAAGCACAGGAGGGGGAGCTCAGGGTAGGAGGCCCAGAGAGATGTTCTTCAAGCCTGTCCTCTCCAGCCCCAGGTAATTCCCTCCTGACATGTCACAGCAGAAAGAGACATCACACTGGGTAGAAGAACCTGAAACAACTGGGGTCAGAGACTCTCTATTGCCACTCCAGCCTGGGATTTCCCTGCCCAGGCAGAGAACTGCGAGCTAAGTCTGGACGGCCTGGCAGGGAAAGTATGCACACAAACACACACACACACACACACACACACACACACACACACAGAGACACACACACACAAGAATATACAGGTCAGCAGGCAGAAGCAGGCAGGCAGGCAGGCATTCAGACAGATAGAGCAAGTAAATAAGTATGTAAATCAGTAAAATAAATAAATACGTAAATGCAAAAACAAACAAACAAAAGTAAAGAAATAGAACTCAGGCTAAGTTTGGCTTCCTGGCTGCCATGGGTTTGGTGTCTTCCCTTGGCTGTGCTCCCCCACTGTGATGTACTGAAACTCAGAGCACCAGAGGAGAGCTTTGAACCTCCCTTTGGGGAGCTCTTTTCCCAAAGGTCTTCCTGACAGCAGATCCCCATCGCTCCCAGCTAACTCATGCATGCAGCTATGGCTTCTCTGGTATGTAAGGTATGTAAGGTGCCCAGCCTGGTGGCTGGTAGAGAGGCAGGTCTCACATACAGGGCCTCCCATGAGTGCCCCCAGAGAACTTTAAAGTGAGCGAGTTTGGTAATAAGATATTTTAGGATGGAGAATGCTGGCCCTCTGTCAACTCTGCCCTCTGTACTGGTGTGAAAGGCAACACGGAAAATCCCCAGAAGAAAGCATTCTGTCAGCAGCTGATCAAGGGCAGAAGTCTCCACAGCGAAGGGTGCCATCTTACCTGTCCTTCCATGATGTTCAGAGACACCCTCCACAGCATTTTTGAATGAACCCTTAAATGTCAGAGGACAAGCTTGTACCATTTTAAGGGGGTGCTCTACTTCTGCCTCAACATTTCGGGTGCTCTATGGAGCCAGTCCTGAGTGGCAGCCCAGTCTGTCTCCAGCTGTCACGAAACAGCTTGGATATCACCATCCTCTGCCACCTGCCACACCACTGCATCCTCCTGAAAGTGAGGAGCAGAGCAGGTTTGGAAATGCCCTGGGATGGAGACTCCATGGATGTTCCCTTCCCTGAGGGCAAGCTGTGTGGGTTATGGGTTTTGTTTTCTTCATGACTGGTTTGGTTTTGTCCCCCCATTTACAATGAGCATAAATCTGTTGACTCAGTTGGCAGAGTTGAAAACTTCATGGGTGATTTTACCAAGTTGGAGTACAGGGAATTCTGCCATGATCACCAGAGGATGCCAGTGTCTCTGTTGTATCAAGGGACAGTGAAAGTGTAGAGTTTCAAACTCAGAGCTCGAGTCTTAGGGGAATTCAGACCCACCCCTCAATGGTGGACAGACCACCATCTAACGGTCCTGCAGAGAGAAGTGTTCTGGCCAGCCCAGGGAACCCGTTAGTGAGCCATTTCTATCACCGACCTAAGACTGCCAGGAGCATCACAGCCACTGGGAGCCTCGCATGAGCCACGCACCTGCTCTTCCCTGTGTGAGCATGACTGAAAATGGCACCTGTGGCCCTGTGTGTGTTTAGATCCCTGGCAACTGGAATGAGCTGAGTCCTGTGAACATCAAGTCAGCCCTTTGTCCTCAGTGGTGAGCTTTGTTCCTGTTCTCAGCACTTTAGAACCTGGTGTCTCCGATGCTGCGGTGCGAGAGCCAGTGAACAGCTGGAGTGTTTGTGTGCCTGATTCTGCAAAACCACGAACAGGTGTATAGGTGTATATGTTGTCCTGATTTTATTTATGCTGTGACAAGAGCCATGGACATAGCAATTTGGGGGAGGAAAGGGCTTACTTCAGGTCACAGTCCATCATTGGGGACGTCAGGGCAGGAACTCAAGCAG